AAATAGACAAGGGGGGTGTCTAAATGAGAGGCCTGAGGTTACTCTGTCAATAAACTACAGCCATGGAACTTGGAACAGCTTGAAGTTATTTCCCCGAACAATTTCACAGGACTTATGTATGCAAGTCTTTTGCTCACTATACTTTCATATCAACCCTTTCATTGCAACTCATAATGTGCCTCTGCTGTTAAATATTTGTCTGGATTGACTATTAAAGGGTTAGAAAATAGCTGCACGCAGTTCCTTCATTGACAGATAAATAGAACACCCTTGCTTATTAAGGTGAAAGTTAAGAGCAGCCATCCAAATGAATTATGGGTAATGTGATGCCATGTGGGGAGACATATAGCAGAGGCACAGGCTTTAGGTGGGTTCTTTACCAAAGACACACCCCAACAGAGGTTAAACTGAACTTTTTAGGAAACCAAATACGTTACCGTCTTTATTTCCAGCTTAGCAACAACATATTCTGACCCAGGTTGCTAATATGAGAACTTGTAGAGTTATTATATTAGCTTGTGCCTTAGCACAGCGGCTTGTTTTCAATCCTGGTGCGGTAACACAGCAACTGGTCTTCAGCCTGGAGGCTTGTGTTATAGCCAAGAGGTTGGAATCTTCAGTCGATGACAGTGAATTGCACTAGCGTAGCAGCTAGTGTTATAATACAACAGCTGGCACAGTGGTCCTGTAGTTCCAAAATCTTCCAAGTCTTGTTCCAATTTCTACTGCCATGCACTCATCCTCACCTCCTGGTTCGGTGCTCAATTTATGAGGGCTATAATAGGGTGCACAGGGTGCATATCAAGTAAAGTTAAAATTTACCTTCTGAACAAATGAGAAACCTCGGATCCTCAGGCTTAAATGTGTATCAATACATACAATTATATCCCATTGGTTTCAGCTACTCAGGTGAATCAAGACTTTCAGACTGCTGATTTTTTATACCTGGAACTTTGTTCTTTCAGATCTGTCAGCTGTATAATAACGGTTCAAAGATCTGGGATACTCTATATGATCTGAATGATGCACAGGCGAATCTCTTCATAAGCGGGCTGGATAAATGCAAGATTGACATTGCCAATGAAACTGTATTTTCAAGGTCGGTTGCTTGTTATTATTTGTTACTGTGCTGTAGACATACCTTTGTAACAATTTTGCAAATAGTAGTGGTTTTACAGATAATAAAACCAATATCAATCATAAGTGTGCAGTGCTGCATTTCATTTTCATAAAAAGAAATACTTC